GTGGAGCCAAGAATGGAGCCAAATTCACACGAATCAGAATATTTTTCCTGCATCCTCCAAACTCCTGATGGAGAATTTACGCTGCTGAATTTAGACTCGATGTGGGAGTTTAATGTCAGGTGTGACTCAAGTGAGCTGATGTTTTGAAAGGACAGTCTCAGCATGTTGTCTGGAACATACTTTGTAGAAAGCACTTATATAATACAGATGTAGAAAACCGCTCTCACTTATACAACGTTGTCCTAGAATCCTTGTAACAGCCAGAGTCCTGTTGTGGCTATACAAGAGATAACCTTGCATCACAAAAGAGGAGCGAGGAGGAGAAAGGAGGGCACAGAGGTCGATAGAGAGGTGTGACGTACCAACGCAAAGCATTACCGTCGTCCTGGAAGAGCTTTAATACACAATTTGCAGAAAAGGGCATACTAAGATAAAAGGTTGTACTTTTTATTTACTATAGCTTTGTGAAGGCCTTACATTTAAAATGCAAAGGGAATGAAAAGCAAACACCATGAAAAAAGTGAAGGAACGATGGATAGTAGACTAAATGTAGAGATGATGGTTAGGTAAAATAAAAGGAAGCGATGAAATTGGTTGGTCACAGTAAACAAAACTGTGACCGGAGAGTGCACATGAGTAGCTGCTAATGATAAACTGAGGAGGGAAAGACACAAGAAAGAGTCAAACCTAGCAACCAGTGAAGGAAAATAAAGCACAATAGCAAACTATGATAAATATGGAGCTGCAAGACAGAAGGAACAGAGGTGGAAAGGAAGATTCATGAATGCACTGGAGGAAGATGTGGCTCAGTATACATGAATGGATGGAAAGGAAAGGATGCAAGAGATGGGGTGAGACGGAGGCAGATGACCTGCTGTGGCAGAAGCTTAAACTGTGACTGTGTAATTACTTATGCAATTTTGAAAACAATATGCTTTTATTTTAGAATTAATTAAAAAAAAGTTCAGAATGTTAGAAAATACAGCACCGAGCCAAAATAGCAATTAAGATTTTTAATACATGCTGTTTGGACTTGCAGAGTCTTCTGCGTATATTCTCATGAAAGTTGAAATTAAATACCTGATACTGATCTAGCGTTTCTAAAAAGAAAACAGAAGAAGAAAAAACAGATCAGTTCAGTTAAATTGAACTTGTATTGTGATGTCATGCTTGTCCTGCACATAATTAAGGCTGCATTACAGGATTTTAATAATTACTTTCAGAGAGTTTTGTAAAATAGCTGCATTTATTTGCCTTAACCATTTGCTATCAAGCAGGATTTTACAAAGGTTCAGCTTCAAAAATGTTCTTTTTGCAAACGTGCTGTTTTGACGTGTGCTGCCACCGTGGACATTGAGCTGCTGCAGAGCATATGTATTTGGTATGAGGTCAGTGTTTTTGTCCTTGGCTGTAACGTTGAGATTGAGTCAGAGAGACCAGCGCTGCCGTAACTGACACTGGTTATCTATGTCCTGCATCTCTGCGACCAGCCACTAAATCCTCCTCCATCCCTCCCACCCAGCTCCTCTCCTGCCCTCAGGCCCCGCTCGGCCTGCCATGTCTCCAGAGATGCCATACTCATTATTTACACCCGGGACCCAACAGCAGGAGGCTGACTTACCTCATTTGGTCTCCATCCCCTGGCTTTTGTGACTTAAAGACATTATGTTATAGTCACATATACATAAATAAATGCTCAGATAATAGTGTTACTTCAGCCTT